ATTGGACTTAATGGTTTCTATTTGACTAATAAAATCTTAGATTAAACTAAAAGAAAAATTAAGGTTATAAGGAATCCAATCTATTTGAGAATTATACTTCTTTAGCCATGATAATCCTCAAATGATTAGGTTGAAAGAAGATGTAACCACATTAAATATTACTAAGTTATTATGACAATTATTTGTTACATCTAAAGGAATTGTTTTATGAGTAATATTTCCAAAAGATAACAAACAATCATCCATTATTTCTACATGCATGGATTTGATTTTTTTTATTAAGAATATTTCTTTTTTTTTTGACAAAAACTTTGTCTATAAAATAGGTTGACGCTCCTAAATCTAATAAGGCAAAGACTTTATAATTTTTTGGTCCTAAACAAACTTCTACTGTAAAGCAAGATGAAGGATCTAAAAAGAAAATAGGACCTTTTTTATGTTTTAAATAAGATTTTTATTGCATGATCTCTATTATCGCTTGACAAAACTTGTATTCCAATATATCATCATCTTTGAAAATCATATGCTTCATTTTGTGGTTGTATTGCTTCTTTAGATAATATTGAGTAATGTCCTCAAGTTCTTTACAATGTAAGTACAAATATTCTTGATAGCATTAAGTTTTTTCTCTCTTAATAAGAAATTTAAAACATACTATGAAAATTTGCATAGGTTTTGGTCTTGATAAATAAAATTTTGTGAATTTACACGTTGTTGTATTGAGTTGACTTGTATCTCTCCAACCAAATCTTTGTTCTTGATATCTTTCAAAGAGTCAATTGTCACATGCAATAGCTTCAATAATAAATTGCTTCAATAAAACTATTCTTGGTATTATCAACAATAAATCTTTAACATTATCTTTTAATCCATATTAAAATTGATTGATATGGCTTTTTGATTGTAATCTAAGTTGTAAGAAAGGTTTTAGAATTTAACGGCATATATGATAGTTAAACTTGTTTCTTATTGTAAAGATATAAATTCGGTCTCTGCTATCTTTTTTTGAATTTTTTATTGATTCTTTTTTCCAAAAATAGTCATGAATACCTTTAAAAATGAATCAAAATCATAGATGAGAAAAGAATCTTTTTCTATCAAAGGTGCAAACCAAGAAAGAGCACTTCTAGAAAAAAGTGTGCCTATGAATCTTACTTACATAAATCCATGAGGGTATTGAAAAAGATACAATCTTAAATAAAACTCAACTTATTCTAAAAATCTTCAAAATTTTGATCTTATTCTATTGAACTTCTTTAGCATATTTATCCTTGCCTCTCTCATATTTGTAGTAGCAAGACTTCTCGAATTTAGTTGTAATAGTAAGACTTCTCGGATTCATTGTTTTCTTCTTCTTGTAAACCATGTGAAAAGTTAACGAAAGGATCTGATTTGTATCAATAGAGATGAACTTTCAATGTCTAAATGTGACAAGTAATTGGACTTCACCCTATGTATTGGATGGTCATACAAGATCATTAGTAATAATGAAATCACCTAAAATTTGATGTAGTGTTTGTAATTTCAGTTTAAGAAGGTAAGCCAAATTTTGCTAATCTCTTGAAGACTTGCGTGGCCTAAATTGTAGGCACATGAGCAGCTTCATAAAGCAATAGAATTTGGTCATATATTTCAACAAAGCATTGCCACTAACACTCCACCACCATGTTACTTCAAGCCACCATAACATCTACAAAATTATCAAAAAGCCAAAAATTGAATAAGGTCAAAATTTGCACATCAAAATGCATGCACTTTAGACTCCAAATGAGGACTAAAAATGTATATATATATATATATATATATATATCTTATCACATTCAATGGCACATTTTCTATTATTATAAAACTAATGGATAGATTTGATATTATCATGAATACAAGGATATTCTTGATATTTTAGTATATTCGAGGAACACTATATATGAATTGTTTATAAGGACCCTAAGAACAAACTACTTCTATTGATTTTTTATAACAGATTTTAAAGACAGCAATCAAAACTCAAAATAATTACATGCTTATGTACATATATATACACATACAAGTATACATTGCTAATTATTAAAAAATTCTATTAATTATGAAGGGTATTTTAAAATATTTAAAATATTATCTTTAATGTCTGATTTCATTTAACTTAAATTTATCTGACTTATCTAATAATATCTTATTTTATTTATTTTATACATGGACAAGGTCATGCAAACAAGAACCACAACCATAAAAATGACCAAGATACTTTCATGGAGTTCAATTCTCAAACCAGCCTCAGTGCACTCTTACACCTTTCCTATTGAAACACAAAAGGCATGAATTCCAACCACATAATTTATTTTAAAAATTAAAGAAATAAAAACTTAAATAAATACAGGTGCACCATTGATCCAAAGTTGAAACTTATCTCTTCACACTTTAAGATATACCTCGTCTTCCTCCTCCTCAAAATAGCAAAAAAATGGATGAGAACATGACAAAGGAAATCTTACATGCCATGCACTCTTTTGTTTTAGGAGCAATTCCAAGAGATATATATATATATATATACTTACATACATATTATTATTTTATATATGGGATGTGAACAACGTGTTTTTAGCTTACACCTTTGGCTAAGATTTGTTTGAGACGTCTTTGGCCCCACCAAATTCAGGCACGAGAACCATGTAGTGCCACGTAGGTCTCGTCAACACACAGGTGGCAGCCAGGCTGGAGGTTCGAGTGCTCTGTTGGCTGAGGAGATTCGCTTCCGTTCCCAGCATGCAAGCAACCTCTTGGACACGTCAGCGATGGACCCCTTTGGGGTAGGTGCCCAGGCCGGGCCGGCCCACAACAGCCCGCGACAAAAGGAGGTAGGCGTGCAGGCAGGCATGCAGGGCACAGAATGGATGGAACGGGTCCCACTACCAGCTGGACCCAGTGAGAAGCGGGAACCTGTTCGCAATGGCCCCCATTCCAGCACAAGCAGCATGAGAACAAAGGGGAATATTTTCCTCTGGAGCGCCACCCTCGGGAACGGGTTCGTTCCCAATCATGAGGCCTTCGTTTGGACGAATGGATGAGGAAGGGAGACAAGTTTCACATCAGTTAATCATTCAATAAAGATAGATCTGGTAGAATCTTCAATTTTTGAACATAGCTGGGGGACGCGAGCCTCGAGAATCTACGCCTCCACTTCTCCTCCCCCCTTTATAGATAGATTGATAGAGAGTACTCTTACTTTCTATGGCTTTCATGAAAAATAAAGCTTGTGGCCATTTCTTCTTGAAGAGCTCTCCCATACCTTTTCGAACATATGCTTGCAATGGTTATTAACCAAATTTTATTTGGTTTTTGGTTTCCTATATTGGGATTTTGATCAAACCGTCTTGAAATTTGGTAGTTCTTAAAACTTGAAAATAATAATAATAATAGTTTTTGGTGTAAATGCAGATTTCAAATAAAAATAGATCCAGAAGATATTGTTACATTACTAATCAATATAAGCAGGTATATGCTAAAAAGTTAATTCTTATCACTTTATATAACAATCAATTATAACTTTATATAAAAGAGAAAAGCCCCTTTCACCTTCGAAGATCATCGAGCAACTGGTTTTGCCTAATACATGATAGGGGAATGATCACACTCCCTGTAGCACCATTTTTGTCAGTGTGCGCCGAAACCCTAAAACCCCAGGCTTCACAATCTTGGGAAAGCTAGTGTGAGAAGAGACTGCGGAGGCCAACGTTGTCGTATGCTACTACGCCTCTTGGGCTGCGTCACCTTCGACGCAAATGGAAATCTTGTCCGTCGCTGACAGTTTCATCAGCTGTCCTTGTTGTTAGACACGGAAGGTAACAAACTTGCAGAGCGTCATCACTGTGACAACTCTAAAGCTCCCGAAGAGAGAAGCGAGAGAGAGCGAGAGGGTGAAAGAGAAAACGAAATATTCAACACTCGTACTCGGAACACTGCTGCGGAATCTGATCCATGCACAGGAGCTTCAATGAGAGGAGTAAACACACAGAGCTTTCACAGCTGGTTTTGCAGTTGGTGTTATTCTTTCCCGAGATCGTCTGAAAAAGCGCGCAGGCTATTCTTTTCTATGGAGATAGCATGATCTAGAGCCAACGCTTCTAGTCAATGTGTATTTTAAAATAAAAATCGAAAGCTGCGGGGAGAAAGAAGCCTTTTCCGATCGATAAACTCCAGAAAACTCGAGCAATTATGCGAACCCGCTTAAGGGCGACTGGAAGGAAGGAAAATCTTTTATCTTTCTGTATGCAGATGTACTTATGTTTGACTGAGAAGGAAAGGGGAAGAGATAAACTAATGCAGCACGGTGGAAAATAGAGAGGCTCGTGTGCGTTGAATCGAAGACAAGGGGTGGTGAGATTGATGCAGATGGAGTGGGGTTTGCTGGGCCCTAGTGGGTGCGATTTGCATGATTGCGAGCTGTATCTCTGGCCCTTGAAGCCAACAGCAGTGAGCCACTGATGCAAGCGCTGCCTTGAGCCCAGTAGGGGGACGCCACGCACCTCAGAAACGAACACATCCCACATGATCGGAGACCTCGTGAGCAGGCTGTTGAGGTGGTCGACATACTCTGCTCGCGCTTTAATTTGGATGACACCAGTCTGCCAGAAGCACCAGGACTTGCCCCCATAATCTGAAGCTTAAAGCTGAGAAGCTTGCCGAGTGGGAGACAAGTACAGCTTGGACTGTATACTTCCTGCGCCCACTCAGCTCAAGTAGATAATAATCTGTGCCTAGCGACATGGGTCAGATATGTTGGCACTCGAGGGAGCTGATGGATTCTATTGGTGAATTATTACTTTCACCGCAAAAACTGCAAAAAAACATAAGAAAATCATAATAACAAGAAAAAAATGAAAAAAAAGACGCAATAAATATTCCCGGCAATTTCATGGATTGGCAGGGATGACCCCTTACCAGTTGGAATTATGAAGGGATATGATTCATGTGCTGCTCATGAACGATCAAGCTGAACACCATGTTACTCTCAGTACAGAAAAGGCGCTGCAGGACAAGGTGGAGAAAGAGATGGGTAACCACTTCCATTGGGATGGTCTCGTCTCCTGCCTTGCTGATGCGAAGATAGGAGAGAGACAATGATCTACACAATTGGTGTGGAAACAGAGCTTAGGCTCATGTGATGCAGCCACTGCCGGTCCCACTGTAGCAGTACAGCCGTCCTTTTTCCTGGTCCTCATAGCATTGGGAAGATGACGAAGAAGAAGTCTTGATGTTGTAGAGGTTGTTTCTAGAACGACGCCTCTCGGATTCGACGAGGCCGTCGCCGTTGGGTTGGTATTCTACAGCTGGTACCAGGATACTCCACCTTGCATGCTCATTGGAGCTAGTTTCTCCACGTCTTTGAGTGCTTTTAACCTGCAGGAACAACCGACGCCGTTTGTTAAGAGTATGGGTCATCGGTACAGGCCCATGTTATAGCTTGAGGCCAGCCGCTGGCCATGAGTTTGGTGCTCCCACCACAACAATGCTTGTGTTGCAAGAAATGTTTAGTCTTTCGATGCTTTGCATGGAGGTACAAGCACGACGACAAAGCCTCAGATTGTGATTCATTCTTTCATGTGTATTCTTTTTTGTGTGGGTTACGTGACCAATGAAACAATTTCTGAAGTCAGAGATTGTGTTGATGCTTGAAAGCCAAGCTTCAACGGCGCTCTTAATGGTTTCAATGAACTCCCCGCTGAACGAGTACTCTCGCTCTTTTGGTGAGATCACACGTACGCTGTATTGCAAAATCTTCGCTTAAAAGCTCGTATCGTTGCCGAACAACATGATTTGCTGAGCTATTCATACTAGTGATCATCTTGCGAGGAGAATGTAGGCTTCTCCTGCGCGCTCGAGGCGATTCAGGGAGATTGGGCTCTATTCCAACGTGGAGGAAAACTCGAGCTCGTAGCCAGACATCGAAAGCTAGACTTCCAACCATAGTGCTGTGAACATCTCTACGTTCTTGATGGCTATCTAGCTTTCACCACCAGCAGGCATGATCATTTCAAGATGGTCACCACTGTAGGGCCAAGCCGCTGCTCTTTACTCAATATTCTTTCCGCTTTTCCCAAAAACTTTTGTCTCTGTGATTGAGTGCGACCATTTGTTGAGAAAAATCGACGGCTGCAGATAATTGACGAGCTTTCGATTCTGTGTTCTAGTAACAATCTGCTGTCTGTGTCGGCGTCACCCATGCTCCCTTGACCAATCGCAATGATGAAAATTCACAAAATTGTAAGCCGGTGTAGGTCATTTTCAGGGGAGACTGAAGGACGACATTGCTGCTCCCTCCAGGCGTCGCCTCTCACATCAGACAGCTCTTGTGCGTGTACAAGGTGAGTAAGAGGCCTCGGTCACTTTTCTTCTTGTCGATGAATTGTCGGGCCATGCATCCACGCCTTCGTCGCAGCTTTGCAAGGAATCAAAAGTTCCCTCTATGGAAACATGAACTTCACATGCCTGTCTAGATTCTAGAGCGAGGCAGCTTCTTGCACAGCTGCTGCGGTGCACTACAAAACAAGAATGAAGGGAATTCATCAGGTTCAACGTTGGGTCTAATTCGAGCTCGCGTCGGCTCTGCGAATGGTGGCAGCAGCTGCACCATATTCCTGTTGAAGGGGAACAAAGTTAGGTTACACTGTAGCTCTCGACGGTGTGCAAATTTGGTGGCGTGAACGTGATAAATTCGAGAGAGTTTGTCGTTTTGATTGAGGGTGAGGTGAAGTTGCAACTGGAGGTTTGTTGAAGCAGAGTCGTCTTTGGGAGCGCCGAAGCAGCTAGATGGGTCTATCATGCAAGACAAAATCCTCTGTAGCTGTCTGCAATTCAACACAAGACCCGAATCGCAACAATGAGGGGATTCTCGAGAGTTTCAAATTCAGGGATCTGGAGGCAGCGACAGGTTTCTTCGCACGGGAGAACTACATCGGGAAGGCGAGTCATGGCCACATGTACAAAGGTGTTCTCCAGGATGGGAGAGTGGTGACGGTGAAGCGACCGGGTGCAACACCTGGCGCTCGCCATTTCTTAGAAGACGTCGGCGCGTTCAACAACGAGATACAAATCCTTTCCAAGCTCTTCAGCCGGCGGCTTGTGAACTTACTGGGATGCAGTCAAGATGGTAGGGTGAAGCCGATTTTAGTTTTGGAGCACATGGAAAAAGGATCGTTGCATGAGAATCTTCAATCGGACACTGAGCTTTCCTTGAGCTGGCCCCTGAGAGTGAAGCTCGCACTGGATGTTGCCAAAGCGATACGAGCACTTCATGCATCGTCACCGTCTATCGTCCACCGCAACATCCGAAGCACGAACGTCTTTGTGGACAGAGACGGGAGCGCGCGACTCGGGGACTTCTGCCTTGCCAAGAGCATGCAGCAGGAAATCATTGATCCTCCGAGGAGAAGCAACTTGATTTCAATCCCAGAGGTACTTACGGCAACTGCGGAAGGTTACAACGCTAATAGAATGTCCATGGCGGTGGAGGACTTCGACTCTGAATTCAACTACGACTCCTCCACAGAACCGACTCGTGTCAGCCCCAAGACGGATGTCTTCAGCTTCGGAGTCATCTTATTAGAGCTTATGTCTGGACGGAGCGCCGCATCGTTATCAGATTGGGCACTTGACATGACTCCTTTACGTAGCCTACTCGACTGGGCTCTACCGCTCATCAAACACGGCCACTCCATGGCCATCTGCGACCCCCGAATCACTCCCCCTCCGGACAACGCGGCCGTCCGGCACATGGCATCCGTCGCTGCGCGGTGTGTGCGATCCTCGAGTTCCCGTCGACCATCCATGGAAGACGTTGTGCAGTGTCTGTCCAAAGCGAGCAAGCTCGTTCCCGAGCCCATGTGGAGCTCTCCGACATCCTCTGCCAACTACACCTCAACCGAAGTGACTCCCTCCAGAGACAAAATCCCCCTTGTGCCCCAAAATACCAGCAGGAGAGACAGATCGATCCCAAACGTTGACAATGCTATCACTCCTGCCCAACCCTCCAGGCAGCTCCAGCTCCCGCGATCCTCCATGTGGGCGTCAGGCTTCTTCAACCTCAAGAAGAAGCGAACTTTCGTGTTCCGCTTGAGCAGGTTCTTAGCTCGCAAGTTCAGGGTCGGACATCGAAGATCATACGACAAACTCGTTCCAGCACACTACAGTGCCGAGGATGAGGAAGTCCAGGATTCAAGGCGACACAGAAAACGGTATCCCAAATCTGGCGCTGTCAAGGGCGCGAAAGTGTCCGACGAAGATATTCGAGACAGGTCCATAGTGATGCCACCCAGGCTGTCATATTCCAAATCTGCCGTCTCCTCCGCATCTCGACACCACTCGGGCAAGAAATTCGTTAGGTTGTAGATTCAAAACCAAACCAAACCAAACTTCAGGGTTTCGAGAGGCATGAAGTTCTATGAATTACGCTCACAGCGGCTTCTCCATTGCGAGAGCACCGTTGCTAGAAAATTCTGCTTCTTCTGCTTCTACTTCTTCTCCTTCAACCTCCTCCTCCTCCTCGATTGGCTTTGAAGGCCTGCAACAATGTGCTACAGACTCAGTTTGAGAAATGCGCAGCATCAACAACCGTACGTACTGAAATTGCAACTGCCAAAGAGAATGTGACCATTTGCCTGAGTCACTCCAGGTGGGTTTCAAATTTCGAAGGGTATTAGGGCTTGAATTGATCTGTATTTGCAAATGCACGCAAGCACACCTTTAAAACCCATAATGTGGTTGCCTTCTGTTGTCTGTTGTTGTCGATTTTTTGAAGCTTTCACGACGCACGTCTTGTTCCTGAGCTCATCATTTACAAGAACTTTTGGCTTTAAATCCTTACTCAAGGTTTTCAGGACTACCCAATTTTTGTTTCTATTTTCCGTTTTTTTATTAAAAACAAAACAAAACAAAAAACAAACTTTACATGCAAGCACCCACTGAAGCCACATTGGACGTGCTTTCACACAAATAAAAAGGTTTCAAAAAATAAAATAAAATAAGAACAATAGCCAAAATAACCATAATTGAATTCTTTGAGCAAAACCTGAGAGTGACAACTAAAGCATTGAACGAGTCATTTGGTAGTCGAATAGTGGGATGCCCTTGTGTTTCAAATTGGATTGAATAAGGGGTCAGAGTACCACCTTACTTCCAACTCTTTTTGTGTTTATTTTATTTTAAAATACAATGTGCTACATTTTGCAAGAATTTGAAAGTGATTATCAATATAACAGATGCATGTGGATGGTTGCAGTTTTCTCTGAAACACAAATCACTTAGAATTGTTGAGAATAAGCTTGATTTGATCAATCAGGCTCGTATATTTTTGAATGTGCATCTCTGGTTTTGTTGTTTAAAATCCATTAAGTCTTTGTATTGATTAATCACCCAATTTAGGTTGCAATGTGCGATGGTCTGTATTTTTTGAACTAAAGCAAATCCGATAAAAAAAATTAAACTTTTGACAATTGTTTACAACAACATGGTTCAATCTAAGAATAATAAAGTCTCGTTCATCATAAAATTTTGCCAAAAATATGTAATTATTTGGACAAGAAAACCAGGTTTATCACTTTAATCCAAACCTTATAGCCATTCTTTGGTAATCATCAAGCCTTACTAAACTGTTTTTTTAAAACACATACACATACACAGGAGCTTCCACGTATGTGTTTGAATATATCCATCCACTTTTAAAGTTCATTATCCATTTTTATTTTTACTCTTTTTGAATGGCACAAATTTAGTTTTGATTTGTATACATATTTCTCTTTCTTTCTACATTTGAACAGACAATCATGCTTCTTGTTTACATTTAATGTAAAAGGCAGTTTCATTCCTAAATTTAAATTGCTTTCACTCACAAAGATAATTGAAAATTAAAGCATCTTGCTTAAAATGTCTAGTGTTATTGATTATTTTAGAAATGTTCGGACTTTCTTATTTTCAAAATAATGTAATTACTAAGTCATGTTCTTAAAAATGGGTCTAGTTTATAACTTGCATTCTGCTAAGTACTTATTCTTTCAAAGCTTTGTGATTATAAAACATTCAAATCTTTTTTCACATTTACAACATTCTTGTGCGGTGAAAGAAACTCATTCACACGACTCATCAAAATCATTCTATAGTTTGTCTCTAGAAGACGAGAAACTCTAAAAATATCATATTTCGGGACATATAAAATTTCAGCATAATTAGGTATTAGGAGGCCGATTTAGAATTGATGAATTCTGAACGTTCAGTGACAGAAGAATCAACTGTAGTTTATTTTTAAAAGATATCAAAATACATGTAAACACAAACAGTTATCCATGCATTCACGCATAAAAGGGATATTTTATTGAACGAAACCGATACCCTTACACTGCCATTTTTATGACTTGTATGAGTCTTTTTATATCCTTTAGAGAAACTGTTTCTTGGTGTTATTTTAGATGTATATTGTTGGTTGTGAATTAAAGTCCAGTGCATCAGGTTGTTCTCTTGAAATGCTGATAATAGATATGTCTATTCTTAAAAGCACAGAATCCAATGCGAAACTTCTCACTTACCAAATACTATTTTAAATTTTATCTGCTTTATTTTTATCAGACAACACGATTCTCCTTGCTATCAAATTTATACCAACATTACTCACAAGTCTTTAGAATGATCCTTTTTGTACTTACATTAATGTTGCTCTTTTGTCACAGCTCAAAAGTATCAGTGAGTGGAGTTTTCACTCGCTTTTCATTGGTTGAGGTTGAACAGTACTCGGTTGCATCAAACTGGTCATTTTGCTACCATATGACATGCTTTTTCACTTACATTATTCTTGCAATGGCCAAAATATGTGTTTTGCGTTATTAATAAATGAACTCACATGTCTAGAAATAAAACATATGTCATGTATAAACTGAGGCAAGATTTGTTCAGTTTTGCTACACCCATTCAATCATATATGTATGAATATATCAAATGCTGTTATTTGGAATTCATTCACTGCTTATGTTCCACAATAAGATGTTATTTTTTTTTTGCAGTTTTCATTTTTATTATACACCAAAATTGGTCTAAATTATTTATCTAAAGAAGTCTAGAGCATTAAGTGTCTTAGAGAAAAAGGAAAAGTTGACTTCAGTGGAAAGACATCAAATTGTAAAAAAACATAGTCATATTTCACAATAACACAACATGATTTGGACATGATTTTGAGAAAGTTACTACGTCTCCTAGTATTATGCAAACTCGAAGGAGTCTATAATTTGTGAAAATAACCACAACTGTTTTCTTGTCAATTTGCTTATGGTTCCAGGATAGCAACACCTAGGAACAATAATACCCAAAACTATCCATACGACATAATTTTTCATTTAATGATTTCACATATAGATATTTAACCAACTTGTGGTCACCCTGAGTTGGAAAAGAACAAATGAGGATGAAGAAGAAGAAACTGCACTTTAATCAAACACTAGTTCTCCCTTTCCATTTCCACCACCTCTGATTGCATAAGCTGGTCCATTACCTTTTGACACAGAACCGTCCGTCACAAATTACCACACACCCCACCATCATCAACAGTGACGTTGACCGTAATTATACACATATATTTCTTTGCCGTTCATGTTCAATTACCGCCCAATCTTGTCCTCAAGGGACCCATGTCGATAGGGAGCTAGCTAGCTACATCCATCCAATCGTATGGACCCTTACTCTATATAGCCCGAAAGTGTAGGGGGCTGCGTCCGAAGAGGCAAAGAGGCAAACAAAGATGGGTAGAGAGTGGGAGACAGGGAGGGGTAGTGAATGAAGGGGCAGGCAGGCAGGCAGGCAGGCAGGCAGGCCAGGGAGCTTCTTAGCTTAGCTCTAAGCCCCAGCCAGATATGGATAGAAGCGTCAGATTCCTCTCTCTCCTGACTTCATCTGGTCTCACGCCCTTAAGGGGGGGGGGGGGGGAGGGGTCTGGTCAACCCAGCGTCATGACGCAAATGATTGGCCCCGCCTCCTCCTCGTCCCGGTAATGCTGGTGGTACTGGTGCTGCTGGTCGGACAACGGCGATGATGCCAGTGCCCCACTCCGAACTGCTGCCCCGTTTCCCCGTCCTCTTCCCACTCCTTAACTCCCCAGGTCTCCTTCGGAGGTGGAATCTCGCTTTACTCAGATTCCAGATCCATGCCCCTCCAATGTCCCTGTTTTGCTCTGCCGGGGGGGGGGGGGGCTGCTGTAGGTTTAGGGGCGGACAGCCATTAGGAGAGACGACTGCCCCTCCCACCCCAACTTCCCGATCGCACCCTGTCTCCCAACCTGCTGCCTTAGAGTTGTAAGCCAGGTGGGGGCAAGCAGGCAGGCACCGCGTCTCTGCTGCCGCATTAATTGCATGTGTGTGGGATTCTGTGTGAGAATCTTGGGGATCCGCTGAGGAGTGGGGGGTGGGAACCTTGTGCGGGATTCTGGTGCGCTTGAGTTCGTGCTTTTGGACGGGGTTGTGCTGGGGGAGGGGAGTGTTTGTATTGTTAGCGGTGAGGAGAGACTGCTGGGAGGAGGGGAGGAGGAGGAGGAAGAATAGAGAGCAGGATCTTTCGCTTTGGATGTGTGGAGACGGAAGCTTGCGGGGGAGAGAAGGGGAGTTTAGGTGAAGTTGGCGATGGTGGGGGCTTGACGTGTAATGCGATGGTGGAGTGTGTAGCTTGGAGTCGGGGTTTACTCGGCAGAGATTGCGTGAGAGAATGTGAGTCGTTCAAGATTAGAGTGATCGGGGTATGCTGAGTTGGGTCTCGGTTTTTCGGGTGTCTGCTGTTAGAGTGCGCGGGTTTTTGATCATGTAACGCTTTGGGTCTTTGAATGTAGTACCGAATCGGCCTCCGCGATCGGTCTTGGCTGCGTTGTTGGGCATGATTGAGGGGAATTTTATTGTCGGAAGAGGGCGATGAAGCAGACAGGCCTTTTACATAATTTTGGTAACGGAGATGATTTGTTTGAGTTGAAAGCCGAGATGGGAGGGACTGCGCGGATGGATGCGTAGGGAGGCTTGCTGTGTTGGGGGACCGAGAGTTGCGACGGGAGGCGGCTGAAATGGGGCCGTCGGGGAAATTGAGTGGCTATGGCTATCTAAGGGGCAAGAATGGGAATGTGTGCGGAGGAGGCAGGGGGAAACGAAGCTCAACTGGTGTGACGTCGGTAGTGAAGGCGCTCATGGAATCGCAAGTTACGGGGAAAGGGCTGAAGTCAATTCGGCAGCTGCCGAGGGTGGTGTATTGTAGATTTCAAACGAGTTCCAAAAATATGGCGCCTCTGTGTATGGATTTGGAGAATGGGCTTGTGAGCAATCATGTGGAGGCCTGTCAACGGGTGCTGTCCAACTTGCTATACAGTATTTGCGAGTGGAACAATCCGCATTATCAGCAGAACCGAGAAGCTTTTGTGTTGTTCGGAGGCGATGTCTTGCTTCTGAGGGCCTTGTTCTATCCGTTCTCCAGTGAGGATGGAATAGAAAAGCTGGGATCTTCCAAGGTGCTGGCTGTGCGTCGAGATTGTCTAAGCCTCTTACGTGAGCTCTGCTTCACGGTGCCATTCTTCCCCGAGGGTTTGGCAGCCAATGGAGACTTCGTTATCAAGCTGTTCGCTTTCATGGGCAATATTACCACCTTCGATCAAGGTCAGTCTCTTCTTACGCACATCTCACATGTGTGTCAAGTAATGTTGATTTTGTGGCATCGATCAGGTCTTTTGGAAAGTCCATTGGTCGCACACACCTCTTACCTAAAAGTTACATGTGCTTTTTTGATAAACATTGCAAGCATGGCGGTCGTTTTACGAACATCTGATTGCTAAGATGGGGTGAAACTGTAGCTTTATGTGGAAATGAGGAAGCGTGTGCATGTCATCCAGATTGTAACAGCGTTGTTGGTATTAATTGTTCTTCAGCTCGAGATAAATGGGTTAAGATTGAATTCTATGCATCTCTTGTGTAGCCGTTAGTCTCGCAGAAGATGTTTTGGCAGCCCGAGAAGACACTCTCAGAGTCCAGGATATTCCAGACTTTGCAAATTTGGTGCGCAATTTCTCATCCAGGCAATTGGCGTCGTTTTGTCGCGTTCTTGCAATGGTCGCCTTTGAATCTGAGGTACTGTCTTTTTACTCGTCCTACTAAGCGTAATTGATTCTGTAAAATTTTCCAATTCACAACTTTATTCGGCATCTCATTGCAAAGGAAGTAATGCCAAGCTGGATCTTTAAAAGGCACGATCTTCACTGCCTTGAAAATACTAAAGTTAAGAAGTTGTAATGTGAGAATCAAACTGATACGTGAACCCAGATCAAACTGAGCTGTGAGCTTAAGATATTGTGTTGATTCTCTTCTATAGAATCTTCCGATCACGTAGGACCGTTTTTCTTATCTAAGAGTCTCACAATCATCTGTTCCACAATTGTTTTAATAAACCAAAAGGATTTCCCATTTCGCTATAGTATAAAAGACTCAATGCGGAACCTCTCACAAGAAAACCCAAGTCATGAAGATTAGTCAATTTGATTGCTAAGAGATCCTACGTTTATGCTTGGTCCGCAAATCTCGGTAACAAGAGTTTTTTCACACAGTATTGGGAAGAAGAGTGCCAAAGCCTGTGGTCTTTTCTCTTGGGGTTGGTTTCAAGGCAGGGAATCCATGGATGGGACAGGAGCGGAGCGTGGAGAATACTTTCCCGTTGCAGAGGCCAAGGTCTGAGGAGCCAGAATGGACCGTGGCCGACAAGAACCATGATGCCATATTACTCATTCCTGATATTCTTGAACGCTTGGTGATGCTTTTGACATTTGACAAAGTGCCGTTTGGTCGCGAGGTAAGAAAATTGAATTGCTGCCAATTAGTGGCTCCGGGCAACAGAAGACCTAATTCTGTGTGCATCTTTGTAATTCTGGAGTTATCTCTCATTTCAAGTGCAATGAATTTCTGAAATTGTTGTATTGGTAAAGTTCACAAGTTTCCTGAACCAACTGGATTCATGGACTGAAGAGATTGCAGGGGGTTTTATCATCTGAAATTTCCGACTTGACAGCAACTGTGTATGTGGAAGGAGTTCCAGAGAACACATTCATTGCGTCTACTGAAGGTCGACGTGCACCTCATGACGAGACTCGAATTGTTCATCCGTTTGCAGAAAATGGGTCTAGAGTAGATCCTGCTTCTCATGCCCACCAACGAGTAGTTGCGACCATCATAGACGAGGATTTCTTAGATTGGAATGTGTTCTTGGATCGCAGCCCTTCAACCACTGCTCTTGTTCTCAATGTAAGAAAAGTTTCCTCAACCTATTTCTGTTAATGTGGTCATCCTTCTAATTGTTAGGTTATGACTGACATGATGTAGTATCTGGATTACCTTACAGTGTTTTAAATGGATAAGTAGAAGCGCCACCATTGCAATCCAACTGAGTCACGAAATGTATAGGGACTGTTGGAGGAGGTCCATGACCATACTAACAACTTGCCATGGTTTCGTACAGCATCATGTGGAGGTCCTATTCGTCTTGTGTGCTTTGTGCGGAGGAAAGAAGAGGGAACAGGTAACACATAACACGTTATACATTGTTCGCTACAAATACTACTTTTCGATTGGGTAATTTTGCTACACCAACTAATGTACCACTATTAGAATATAGACAATTGATCATAGAACAAATAAAAAGTAGAAGACAAGAGGTACGTGTCGCGATTGTGGAATTTCCTGCCAACTCGCATAAGGCATAAAACTTTTGGGGTACATTAATTTGACAGGTGCAGAACTATTTAGCAGAGCTGGGGCTGGTCGGTGTCCTTAATGATATGTTCGACAAACTAGACTGGATGGTAACCAAACCACGCGTTAATAGACGGGGTATTCATGGATATGGCTGTGCATGCAACCCGAAATCGGTAAGAGGCCTGATATATATATTTTTTACACGCATATATATATATATAAATGATTTGTCGAGATAATGAGGACTCTATTGTTTTATATCTTTGTGCAGAAGATAGGTCAAGCAATACTGTCGTGAACCTTATGTCGTTGCGTATCGGATTTTTGCAGGCCCTCAAAATTCAGTTTTTGAGGCTTATTCATAATTTCTGCGATCGTGATAGCTGTAATCGTGCAAACAAACAGCTCTTGTTGCAGCCAAGCAGCTCCAAGGTACTTCAGAAGCTATCTTACAAAGGCTTGTTGTCAAAGCTACTTGTTATTATATATTTTTTTCTTACTCTTTATTTGCTCACTGTCATGCAGGATGGAAGTTATTCTTGGAACAGGGTTGGTGAATATAAGGAGCCAGAAGGCCTTATGGTGAAAATACTGAAGGTCTTAATTAATGAACCTGCAGATTCACTCTATCGGTATGCCTTTTTACAAATCTTCTTGTTACATGGACATAAACTAAAATGTGTCTTCAAATGTTTTGTAACCGACGAGTTAGTGTATTTCTCGAGGATAAACATAGCATTTGTTCCTCTTACGTGATGAAGTGGTTTTGGCAGGTTCTGGTTGGCGTCTTGCGTGGAAGCCTTTCTGCGGGGTGCAGATAGCAAGGATCAGGTTAGGATTTTTTCAGCTGAGTTCACTATTTGAGGATTTGCAATATAATTTGTAGAGTGTAGTTCTCGCAATACTCCTAATTGAATTTTGATCTGTACTTCCTTAAATTTGCAACGTTTTTAGTGCTAAGTGCTTGCAAAAAGAATTGCACTTGATTTTGCAGCACTTGTATAAGTGGGCAGCGTAATCTTCATAATCCTCACAATTACTTAATGAAAAACTTCACACACATCGTGTAAGAATTGTTCTTTGTAAGGGTAAGATCAATTTTTAATTCCGCAAGGTTGAAGATTTCCACCCCTATTAGATTACATGAGTTAGTGTATTCAATCGAGAGCCATATTTAAGATTGCAAAGTAGTGAACTCTTTTGTTGATTAGACCGCTGTTGACAAAGGGCAGAGTTTGTTCAAAGTGTGCCTCAAGCACATGCCGGTGTTCACTTTCATTGTTCATCAAACTAATGTTCATCATTTCTGCCAACTGAATACTGATTAAGTTGTGCAAATCTTTAGGAATTTGTGGCATCAACAGGCCTAATGGAGCATCTAGTGAATGAAATCTTGAAAGGAGGCTTTCGATGTTCTACTTCCTTACAGGTCTGTAGAGTTGGAGAATCTACTAACTCATGGGCTTTTCTGCTCTTTTCATTATGATTTCTACGGAAAACAGTTAGAAATAGCTCTTTAGATATTGAATGTTTATTTCTCTGATTACCTTGTGCAGATTGACTTTGATCTGCTCGGAGAGCTCATTAAGTTCAACAAATCACTGTTTCGAGATCTAAATGGATATCTAGCTGGCGAAAAGTTCAATGTATTTGTTGAGGTATGTTCTTTCTGTCGTGAATGTTATGACAGCTATGCTATAATGACATTCATGAGATTTTGGCATAAGTGGGCAGTCTTCAAATTATGTAGGGTTTATGTTTGCTCTCATTAGGTGAATCACCACTTTCATTTGGTGTATTGCCTAAGTGAATGGTCCACAGTCTGCAAGAATTGGATATTTGTTTGAATGAAAAGCTTACTTTTATCTATGTTGGATGATACTTCCCTTGCAGGTTTTGGTGACAAACCTGGTGGACTCTAACGTTTTTGTACGCTCTGTAATACTGTCGTTGGATTTCTTCAAGAGATCTCGACAAATCGGGACTACTGTACCTTCAGCATTTATGCCCACAAACAGTGAAAACTACAAATTTGGAGACACGCCCTGGTCTCGGGCCAAAGGCGAAAACGAGTTTTGCATGATCACTGCATTTGTCTCTCATAACACACTTCGGCTGCTGAGGGACCTCATGTGCTCAGTGCGCCTCAGTGACATTAATCAGGTAATTCGTTTCTTCGCCTGTACTTGCAGCTGCCTCTTTCTCAGACCAGACAGCAACATCATATGTAGTCTTCCTTGTGTGTTTGTCTGGGATTCCGTAATCGAGTTCTGTTCTAGAATGGGATAATGAGAATGGTATGGGGCGAAAATTGCAGGATAACATATGTGTGCTCAACACAGCACTTATCTTCCTCATTTTTGCGGAGAAGAATGGAGAGCTGCAAGGTTATCTTCAAGCACTTAGAGCAGCCGATATGAGAGTACTGCGAACATTCCGTGCTCTGCTTGAGTTTTGGCGGAGTTACTACCTCTGGAAACGGGGCCGTGAGTGCGTCTCACTACAGTACTCCACCCATCTTCCTTTTGCAGACTGGCTGCGAATTGTGGACTGCTTGTGTTCCCATCCTGACTCCCCTTACTCTCTCCTCCACACCCCTCCAGTTGGTGCTCAGTCATGTGTTGCCCTAACTGCTTCCAGTGCACCGCATCCTCGAAGGCGTTAGTGGTTGTGCAGTGACCGATTGTTTGTATAATTTGTGTATAAACTAGACTGAGCAGGTGTGTTTTACTTAATTATTTGCTGAGGCACTCCATCAGCGGTGGTGTTGATGTACTGAAGAATGGTTCTAAATTCAAAACTATCTTTGATTCATCTGACTCTTCTGTGTGTCATGTGAGTTGAAAGGTGCTATATCCAGATTTGCTTTGTCCTTCATGTTTGGACAAAACAGTGCGTCTGCAGCATAAAGTGAAGTTCCATTGCCATGAAGTGATAGACACACATTTCTTTATACTGCGTTAAATTTGAGTGTTTTTACTTCCGAGAGAATGGGTGTGCATCGATAGTTGGATCGACTGAGTCGGATATACAGGAGTGATGTTGTGATGGGGCTCTGCTGAGTCTTTTTGATTAGACTGCTTGTTGTTATGAGTCTTGAACTTCTCATCAGAGTAAAACTTAAATCTCCGCTTACACCAGTTGTAATATATTGAAGCTTGCATCATCAACGGTCTCGATAGAACGAAGGAATATCTACATTCGTGATCAACAGCTGAGAATTATGTTCGGCTGTGAAGGATTTTGTTGTGGCCGTGCACCTTAATTCTCAATGGAACTAGGTACACATTTCCATCTGAAGTTAACATTTAACCAGTTATCGCATTGGAATTGCTTCAAACCAGCCCGCTTCGCATCCACGACCCATTGATTTGTTATCTATTCTTTCTTCACCTCAGGTGCAGATCAACAAATATTTCAGCCTGGACCTATGTTTGCTGCAATGAAAAAGTGCATGGAGACCCATGCGTCCTTGAATATTCAATGATTCAAGTATTGTTCTACACGCCAATCGAAGAGAAGTACATTATTGATTTGCGTGCGATGAGGATGGGGGCATGTTGCTTGGTGGCTAAGTCTATCTCTACTTTGAGGTGGGATGAGCTTTTGCAAAGATGGCGACACGCGAGATGCCGAAGACGCAGCACCATCCACTTCCTTAAATCTGGATAAGAAAGTGGGTTTCCCAGGCACGCACTCCACCCATAAATCCTCTGACAAACACTGCCATCAGTCACTGTGTGATGGGATATGAATAATTCTTATACATTCTGGTAGCATCGTGAAATCATGCAGGTGGCTGACATCCGTGAATATTCCATTCTCTAGGTACGCCATGATCCATGTGTTTGATGAGAAACTGAAACAACGCAAATCCTGAGTGGAGGATTTTGTATGGCTTGGGGGAAAGTTAATACACAGTGTTGAACACCAAACTAAAGGATTGATATCAAGGGCAGCCTGGTGAATAGCCCCACATGTCTGCATTCAGGTTCCTGCTGCCTGTGAAAATGGGTTTTGGACATCCGAAAAAAGATCAGATGCAATCTGTGTGTTAACAAAAGCAGGCAAATTCAATCCTCCGCCAAGGATTCTAACACGAGTTCACAGATCTAGCTCTACAGGTGTGAGACTGTAACGACTGCTTGAAATCTGGGGTCCACAGCCCTAACCTGCTACTAGTCCACAAGAGCTTCTGCCGCTGCTGGTGTGAAGGTTGCCGTGAGTTTGGTATCAGGAATTGGATGTGTTTGTGTATTTATGTGTGAGACCTTATGTATTATGGGGTTCACAGCATGCTATTAAGTAAATGGAATTTCATGCAAGTTGCAAACATGAATGTGCTGGAAGAAGGGAACATTGTTAATAGAACTTTGTTATGTGTTGAACAAGTCCAAGCTTGAGGTACAATCAATATGGTAACATTTCTCCTCTAGAAGTGGGACTTAGTTCTACACTAAAACAAGATTTAACATGTCTTTGAAAATTAGAAACTTATCTTTAGGAAGAGATTTCATAAAGATATTTGTGGAATAATATTCCAAACCAATTTGTCCTTTTTCTACATATTACTTAATAAAATGATTTTTTATATCCCAATACTTTGTATGTCCATGGTATATTGGATTCTTGGTAATAATAATAGTGTTTTGGTTATTCTCATAGATAAGGAATTTTTCTAATTTAAGAGTTTTATAATTCTTAAGTACTATACAAAGCGACAAAGTCTCTATCCTTGCAATAGCCAAAGTTACATACTTTATATCTATTGACAAAATGGAAACTAATAATTGCTTCTTACTTGACCAAGTGATAATTGCACTACCTATTATAAATGCATAACCATCTAATGAAAAATATGTCTCCATACAACATGCTCCATCTACATCACTATAGCTTGCAAATTACAAATTTGTTTCTTTGCTTCTATATTACAACACCATATCTTTTATTCTTTTCAAGGAACAAAATATTTGTTTAATTCCTTGCCAATGTAGAACATATGGATGTATCATGTATTAAACGAAATATTGACAAATAAATGCAATGTCATATCTTGTATCATTCACAAAATATAATAACAAACCTAAAGCTTTTTGATAAAGTTTTACACCTTTTGTATCAAAAATTTTATTGTTTTCATGCTTAATGAGATGATCTCATATCATTGGTGTTGTAACTATTTTTGTATCTTTCATTCCAAATTTGTCCAAATTTTAATAAATATATTTAATTTGGCTCAAATTAATAGTACCATTCTTCTTATCTTATAAGAAATCAATTCAAAAAAAATGACTAAGTTCATCAAGGTCTTTTATTTATAAGCATTCTTGCAATTCATCTTTGCATTTCACAAGGATCTTAATGTTCTTGCCATTGATTAATACATCATCAACATTGATAATCAAAGCAAGGACTAATTCTTAAATGTATATTATATACAAATGAGAATTTGATTCTAAGAACTTTCAACCAAGATTCAATAAAGATCTATCCAAACTTTCATTCCATCCGTGTCCAAATTGCTTCAAACCATACAAAGTCTTTAGCAATTGTAATACTTGTCTTTATATTCAAATATAACTTTTAATCCTTTTGAAATCTTCATATAGATGTCTTCTTCTTTAAATTCATCATTCAAATAAGTTGAAATAATATCAAGTTACAATATATTTCAAATAAAGATAACAACAATTGCAACAAATATAAAAATTGTTGCAAGATAAGCAATTGGTGCAAAAGTCTTTTGATAATTAAGATCCATCATATTAGTAAAATCTGTTGTAATTAATTATATTTTAAAATACTTAATAAGACCATTATTAGTAAGCTTCTTTTTAAAAATCCATTTTGAATCCACAACCTTCTGTCAAGGACAAGAACTCGATGAAAAGCAATTCAGACAAGTGAGTCTTCACTCAAAGAAAGGTAACAAAATATAAATAAACAAGTATGTATATTGAAAGAGAAACTAGAATGGCTATTGCCAAAGACTAGAAAACATGAAGACTCTTGAAACTAGACTAGAAGCAAGAAAGGAGTTGACAAAAGTGAAGAAGACTTCACTCTTGTCTCTATATATACTATCTAACTAGGAGCTATGTTGTTGAGGTAGAGAGAGTTTGCTTCAAGAAAATGCTGGGCTTCTGGCTCTCACTAATTATTCAATTAAGCTTTAAAATAAGGGAAGCCCTAAATTTATATATATATTTTTTCTTTTGAGTAATTACATCCAATACACAATCCTCAAGTAACCCACAACTTCCAAACTATGATAAAATCTTCTAAAACCTTATTTATTCTTATGTGGAAATTTTTTCGAACTTCAACACCTCATATCTCCTAATCCAACCGTCCAAACAAATTCAAACTTTACATGAGGTACTGATGTATTCTTATTAACTTCTATAACAAATTTTAACTACAAATTCGTTGTAGAACTTGAGATATCTTGAAAATCCTAACAGTCGCTTCAAACCCTTATCTTTATATATCCGCGTGCAATTTTCTTCATATCTCACAAAATGTAAGCTCAAATTCTACAAACTTTGTATGTCTAACTTTTTAACACAATAATTTACACTTTTTGAAAGTTTGAGCCAAAAATTCATCCGAATATGCAAGTTATGGCTCCAACCATTACTACAAACAAAACCGCTTACTTACTACCTTTGATTTGGAAGCGCCGCCTTCAACTCCTTATAACTCCTTCATATAAACTCTAAAAGCAATAATTCTTTCATCAAAGATGTAGACCTTGAAATCGCCGTTCTAGTCACACCTTCCGATCTTCAAAAGCTGCTATAAAACTCCTCGTACTCTCAAAAGAGTAACAGTATGTCTTAAATAAATACCTTAACTTCAAACGGCTATAACTTTTTCACCCTAATTCCAAATCCTCTAATTTTTGCACAAAAATTGTATCCCAAATCCTAAAATTTACAATCCTAGCTTGTAATCTCCGAATGTCTTCTTTGAAGTCGCCAAAACCCTTCTTAAGGTCGCGGGTAGCCTCCTCAAAGCCCATTGGACATGGTATTCGACCAATAGGGATGAAGTTCTCCATTCCTTGCCTTCATCAGACCATACTTTGCTTTCATCTCTTTCAATTAACCTCCTATTAGTTTAGATTTTCATCCTTAGATTTCCACCTTTTTCCAAGGCTTCATACTAAACATTTAGGTCCTATATATATATATATATATATATATATATATATATTAATGTCAAAATCAAAAGAAGTAAAGAAACAAAGTAAAGTTTCTTATACCAACTCCTTTTAATTTAATCTACTAGCCACTCTAACACACATCTAGATTTATCAACATATAATATGTTTTAGCTAATTTTTACATATTGTAAGCATTTACAGTATGACAACCTGGTGACGTTCTATAGGACCTCCAATATGTGTTGATTTTGTAGGACATATGCCTTGACTTACAATACAAGTTTTTCTACGTGTGGGCCACATAATTAGCTTGGTTTTCAAGCTAACAACATGTGTGGCACATGGCTAACTTGTTGACCACGTTTCTAATCTAAAAAGTCAATTAAAGACACCTATAAAGTCAAAGTAGCATCTATAAAGCTTCTAGGAAGCTTCTATATCAAATACTATAGAATTAACTTACTTTTACCTATTTTTATTTACTTCTATCTATTTATATATGTAATTACTGGCTTACATGAGTATATCCATGACAATACCCCCCTTTCTAGGGACGAGTTCCACGAGGAGTGGTCATCATATGTTGGGGAAATCTATGATGCAACAAATTGTATTTGCCACATATTCTGATCTTTGTTTTCTTTGAAG